CGCCACCACCTCCCTCATGGCCGGCGTCACCACCCTCACCTCCATGGTAACCCCGTCTCTCTCGGCCTCCTCGCTAATATTTTTGTCCATGATTTACTGAGAGCATGTTGGTCTGAGATTAAATGTGCCGCCTATTCCTCGGATCTGTAAAATCAGAGGTCAACTCCACAGTAACTCAATTACTTCACGTCTCGGTAGAGAAATTTCTATAGATGACAACGATGTGGATCTGCCTAATTTTTGTGTATGCTCTGATCCAATCCGATGCAGCGATTTACGAGTCATTTTGATCAGAAATAAATAGGCAACCAGTCTGGACTGAGAAGATTTAATTTCCACTTAGATTGGCCAGATAGGCCTTCTTACTTGGCAGTTGAATAGAGCACATCACTCTGGGGATTATCCTGATTTCATTCCTAATAGTGATCTCGCAACTGTTTCAGTCTGCGATACTTGGTGAGATGCTGGGCTCAGGAAAGGCAACGCCGAAGCTGCTTCAGCTGTATGTTCCATACGTCGTGTTCTCCGTCGTTGCCATTCTGCGCGGTCTCTGCTCATGCTCCGCGCCGCCCTCGCCTGCATCTTCTGCTCGGAAGAAGAGGGTCTAGATTTGATTTGCATTTCTGACATTTTATGGAGAAAGTATTCAATTTTGTTCAACGGTTGTACTGCCCAATCTATCATTCAACACCCAGTGGAATGTAAATGTCCATACTGCCAAAGTTATTGTTCACATTTTGAAGAAGATTGTACTGCATCTGTTCTATGATAGACCATGTTCAACGCAGCATTGATTTGCCATATCTTTTGTTTATTTATTTATTTATTTATTTTATTATAGCTACATATATATACCTGGCGACTGGCTGTGGAATTTCAAGTAATATTTAGTTTGGCTATATCAGAAGATAAACAACGAGGACATACATCAACTCTTCATTAGCTGCTATATGGTAAGCAATGTATAAGCTGTTAGGTTTGTGAAGTGATTTATCTTGCAACCTAGTTTATGGAAGTAAGCATTTTGTTCCAAAACCAAGCAAATAAATTTTAACTTGCACAAATAAAGCAATGTGAGAGAAAACAATAGAAAATTGTGACATGCTCCGTGATAAACTTACAGCTCTAATGCAATGCATCAGGGTTTACAAGTCAGGAATTAATGCTTTTTACTTCTGATAAACTTTCTTAATGTGAGCAACTTTAGATACCAATTCCTTAGTGAGGAATACAGGATACAGTACAAAGCCTCCCTAAGGAAGCAACAAGCACAGTTGCCTAAAAGAAGATGGTAGCAGGCACATTACACATAGGCACAACATGATACTACTGTACATCGATATCATCCAGATACAATCACTGCACATATACGTGCTATATACTGGGTACTATCATATTTATTCTCATATGGATGACATTAGCTATCAGAAAACTAGGCATACAGCCCAATCCGACTAAAATCTTTGCACAGCAGACAGTGGCAAGCAACCCAACTAGAATCCTCCCAGAAGTTGAACTAAACACGGCATTGACGAAAATAAGATCGACAATAAGATAATAGGGTGGCATCATCACCAAAGGCAGCAGTGATCTACTCGACTGACTGATCATGGCCGAAGCAGACATATATACATATATAACAACAGGCATTCTGGTAAGGATTCTCAGGGCTGCTCGGCAATAGAATGCGATGGATTATTGTCCGGAATTCGCGTCCTTTGAGTCGAGCTAGTCCAGCTTCTCAGCCAACAAGTTCATGTCATCTGGAACCACCAGGTTGCTGGCCTCCTCGCCGAGCCCCCCTTCATGCAGCAGGTCCTCCCAGAAATCATCATTTAGCTCTCCACTGGGCCTGCCTCTCAGTTGCTCCGAACGGCTGGAAGCGACACTCTGCTGCACCTCAGCTCCCTTTGTATCGACGGACGAGCTTTCAAGATCGGATATGACACCGTTCACGAGCGAGTCCACTGGCTCCTGCTGCTCAAACATTACCTGTGACCCTTGCTCCAGGGTAGAGCCAGTGCCCATGCTATCGACAGCTTCAGGTCCCTGGTCGATGCGGCGCCGTCTTTTATTTGAGATGGCATCTTCGAGCTCCTTCCGCATCTCACTCTGGGAGAGCAGATGGTGTATGAACATGGGGTTCTGCATGACTCGCGCCAAGAATGACATCATCTGCTGTTGCTTCTGCTCAGTTCCTTGCAGCCTCTTTTTCATGGCTTGCAGATCTGACCTTGTGTTCTGTTGCTCCTGCCTGAGCTTCACCACTTCAGCCATCAAGAGCTGCCTGTCTCTTTTCAAATGATCTATCTCCACATCATGTCCAAAGTTCCCCACCTCAAGGTAGGAGCCAAGAGATTGCTGATTCTGAGACCCATGTGTAGGTTTCCGGCGCTTAATATTTCTGAGAAGGTGCCTCTGCCCTCGCAAGAATCCCTCATTTGCAAATTCCCACCTGTCAGGATCCACCTTTCTGAAGCCCTGCCAAAGGTGATAACAACCATGTCGGAAATCGGATAATTAAATAAGGCAAAAAGAAGGTTTACCCAACAGAAAATTAACCATTCAGAAATTTAGATAAACAACAGTGACAAAAAGAGAGAGGGTGTGGAGAGGATGAGCCTGTAAGAATATCTAATTTACCTCTTTATGACAAGTTTCAGTTCTCATGATACATTTTTCAGTTTGCTGATTTCAGTTCTTCACTTAATTTGTCAACTTTCCTCTTCGTCTTCATCCTTTAATATTGTATGAACTGGAAGCTTACTCAAGGCAAGATATCAATTGGAAGATTTTACTCACTTGATACATTTTTCAGTTAGCTGATTTCAGTTCTTCACTTTATTTGTCAACTTTCCTCTTCATCTTCATCCTTTAATATTGTATGAACTGGAAGCTTACTCAAGGCAGAATGGAGTATCAATTGGAAGACTTTATTTGTCAACTTTCCTCTTCATCTTCATCCTTTAATATTGTATGAACTGGGAGCTTACTCAAGACAAAATGAAGTATCAATTGGAGGATTTTACTCAAGGCAAACAAATGAAGTATCGACTGGAAGATTTTACTGAAAAGATCAGGTGATAGCCTAACTAGAATTGGAAGATTTTACTCAAGGCAAACAAATGAAGTTTCGACTGGAAGATTTTACTGAAAAGATCAGGTGATAGCCTAACTAGAATGTGTGACACCTACTCGGAGCTAACATCATCATATGAAAGCATCCAGTTGGCGGCTGCGCACATGCTCTCAAAGATTTATAAGGTCAATACAACTACCACCCACGGATTAAATCATAGCTCAAATCTCGTAAAATCTGAAGGTTCTCCTGGAAATGCAACAATCATCCTGTAAAATCTGGTCTTCCAACATCCGCAAGTTTCTACGGTAAGAGAATAATGATAAAAGAATAGCCCTCAGTCCCACACTATCAGCAATGCTAACACAGACAGTAGTATAACAAACTTCCTCTTTTACTCTTTCTGCTCTTTTGGCCAAAATGTCAAGGCTTAAAATTTTGTCCATCTTCTCAAGTTTTGAACACACCCATCACCTTCTTTATCTTTCAATTTTACTATGTGCTTGTAAATTCCAAATTGCACTCAACTAATTCTGTAGGTTTGGGATTTGATTCAAGCACTTGCAACTTTGGTTAATTCAATGGTTTTTATGAACCACTACCTAAAAAGAAAAGCAGCACACGAACTACCAGCTGGCTTGAAGATTATCACATGCTCGTAAATTCCAAGTTGATATCAATTGACTCTGTGGACAACTGGCGGCATCGGAGTCGTCAGGACTGTGTGAACACGAGGCAAAACTGGATGAATCAAAATTTCAGTAATCCCAGGGTGAGCAAATACTCCAGTACTTTGAGTAATCCCATCAAGCTCCACTCATTCCTAACCCTTGCAATTGGCATCAACGAATCGATTTTGGGGCACAAAGGGCCAAGCAAAGCAGCGAGGAGAGGTCTGATACTTACATAGGTGTTGAGCTGTCGGACGAAGCTGGAGAAGTTGCCGTGCTTGAAGTACCTCGGCAGCAGCACGGTGGCGAAGAGGTGCGGGTCCCAGACGACGAAGCTGTTGTTGGTGGCGCTCCAGGAGACGACGGCGTCGGTGGCGGGGTCGTCCACCATGTCGTAGGTCTTGGCGAGGAACGGCGTGGGCCCGGCGTCGCCCAGCCCGTCCATCGGCCTCGGCGCGCCTCCGCCGCCGGCCCGCCCATCGCCCTCCACCTTCACCGGATTCATCATCATCCGGTGGCTCATGGCCGCGGCAGGACCCACCAACAGAGGGCCGCGCCTTCTGGCACCGGAGATGGGATGGGGTTTTTCGCCCGTGCAAGCCTTGATGTGGCGCAAGTGGGCACGGCTTGCGCGTGACAAAAGGGCGGGGGAATGGGCGCGCGGGGGGCCTAGACCCGTGACGAGGCACGCCTAGCACCAGCAGCGGCGGCAGCGCTGGAGGAGAGACTTGTAGCCGTAGCAGCGGCCGCCACTTGGCTTGGCTTGGCTTGGCTTGGCTTGGGGGGTGGAAGGTTCTGGAAGCGGTGCGCGTGGGAATATGCGACCCCGCGGAAGCGGTGGACATGTGTGGCGTGGGGATTATCCTCTCCGATCAGAGAGGACAGAGACGCGACGCGTGCGTCCACCGGGGAGGTACATGGGCCGGGCCATGGTGGGCCAACATAGACCACGGATAAATGGGCCGGTCCGGGCCGGGCCTTGGTGGGCCAACATAGACCACAGATAACGGGCCGGAGCCGGTCTTGGCGAAAGTCAGTCGCGTGCGTTCCCATCCCACCCCACCAGCCTTCAAGGGTCAAGGCCAAGGCACGAACCCCGACCTGACCCGGCAGTTCGGTCTTCTTCTACTCCCCGTCCGCCCCACGAGGAGACGATTACGAAGCGTGCCCAGCTCCATCTGCTTTCCTTTTCCTCCCCCTCCCCGTCTCCCTCCGACCCCCGGCCGAAACCCTAGCGAGCGAGAGGCGCGATGTTCGGCTACCGGAAGGCGCCGGACCTCGACCTCGAGGCGGGCGGCTCCGCGGCGCTCTACCCGGGGATGACGGAGGACGTGGAGCTGCGCTGGGCCTTCATCCGCAAGATCTACGTCATCCTCTCCGTGCAGCTCGCCATGACCGCCGCCGTCGCGGGCTTCGTCGTCAAGGTCCCCGCCGTCTCGGAGTTCTTCGTCTCCTCCAACGCCGGCCTCGGCCTCTACATCTTCCTCCTCGTCCTGCCCCTCATCGGTAATTATTACGTCGAGCCTCCCCCGCCCAGACCCCCGCCCCTGCCTCTCTGAATTCGGGTTCGTGCGTTGACTCATGGAATTGCTTGCTTCGTTCGTGCTCCAGTGCTGTGCCCGCTGCGTTACTACCACCAGAAGCACCCCGTCAACCTCATCCTGCTCGGCATCTTCACCGTCTCCATCAGCTTCGCCGTCGGCATGACATGCGCCTTCACCAGCGGTAATAAATAACAACATCTGTAATAGATTGCCCCTCAGTCCACAATTCCTTCTGAATCATTGCTAATAGATTGCCCCTTTATGTGTGTTAATTGTCACGGATGGAACCCTTTACACTCTTGCACCGCTCACTAAAATCATTGTTCGTTATGCGTGTGCTACTTGATTTTTGTAATTGAACTTAGTTTGCATTCAAATCAGTTGTGTCAGGTTATGATTATGATTGAGCACTAATGCCACACGATGGTTTTGTTTGTTCCTTGCGTTAGCCTCTGATTTCTTGCTCATCTCCTTGAATGATTGCTAGATTCTGTGAATGGAGTTTTCATTTGGTCTTGTTTGAGTATCTGCAACAGCTATGCATGATATAATAGATTAGTAGTGAATGCAAACCAATTCTAACATTGAGAATCTGTCCTTTTGTCTTCCATACAAGCATTGGCTCATACTGATGGTGTTTTCATAAGTAGAACACTTTACTCATATAAATTTTGGATTCCTACTTAGGATGCAAAGCAGGAGTATGTGCATGCATGTGCCTCTTTGGTGCTACAGGAAACAATTGAATGCAGTGATTCGTTGATCCATCTGTTGATTACATGATCCTATTGTTTGAGTTTTCTCTGGGTCCACAGCTTTTACATATATAGGTTCCTGATGTATTACTATGCCAATCTTGTTTGTATACTATACTTAAGGTCGGTCAGCCAAGTTTTGCAAATGCAGTTCTAGTTGCTCCTTCCCATTATATTCTGATAATTCCAAATGTTAGTATGAGTCGATACTTCTTCAGTTTTCTTCTTGTTGCCTCGAAAGGTTGTCTTGTTTGTTTAGAAGTGGAACCCCTTGCCTTTTTTCTTCCAGTTCATACATTTATTCCTGTTGCAGTTTTAAGGGCGACTCTATTGACATTTTCAAAGAGCTAGAGAGTTCTCCTGTGTGTGTTTTCTTTCTTCATGTTTCTTAATGTGCACGTCAATAGAATGCAGTGATTCGCTCGATCCATCTGTTGATTACATGATCCTATTTGTTTGTATTGGCAGCAAGTTTGAGTTTTCTCTGGGTCCACAGCTTTTACATATATATGTTCCTGATGTATTACTATGCCAATCTTGTTTGTGCTATACTTCAGGCTGTCCAGCAAAGTTTTGCAAATGTCGTTCTAGTTGCTCCCTCCCATTATGTTGTGATAATTCATAATTCCAAATGTTAGTAGAATCGATAGATAGTTCTTCAGTTTTCTTCCTGTTCCCTCGAAAGGTTGTCTTGTTTATTTAGTAGTGGAACCTCTTGCCTTTGTTCTTCCCATTCACACATTTATGATTTATCCCTGTTGCAGTTTTAGGGGCGGCTCTATTAACATTTTCAAAGTGCTAGAGAGTTCTCATGTGTGTATTTTCTGCCTTCATATTTTTGTAATGTGCATGTCAAAATAAATAAATCCTACCATCGGTATTTACTTCCATAATGCAACCACCTGAGGTCTATATTATCAGATGTACTCTAAATTTCCAGTGAGGTTCTAGAATCCGAATGACCTGTCCAGAGCTACACAATGCATCAATTCTTATCAGCAAATGCCATTCTAGTTCCTCCCATTTTGTTGTGATAATTCCAAGTCTCTTGTGACTGTGCTACCACTAGGGGCAAGGTTTTGAGGTGTCAGAAAATCTATAATGCACTTACCAATACAAAAGCATTTACCATATCACCACTTCTGTTGAGTCGATCCTTCTTCAGTTTTCTTGTTGTTCCCTTGTTGAGACTATAAAGGTTGTCTTGTTTGTTTAGTATCGAACCCTTTGTCCTTTTTCTCCCCTTCATAGATTTATTATCCCTGCCGCAGTTTTAATTTTTTGGAACCCAAGGCATGATTTGATTGACCTTTTGAAGAGCTAGAATGTCATCCAGTGTGTGTTTTTTGCCTTAATATTTCTTAATGTGCATGCCATAAAGTTCGTACCGTCGACATCAACTTTTGATAATGCAACCACTTAAGGTCTATATATATGATGTACTCTAAATTTTCAGTGAAAAAAAATAGCACAACTTTATTGAGCGTTTTCTCCAGGGGTCTAGAATTGCTCTGAATGGCATGTTTCAGATCTACACAATGCATAGATTCTTATTTAGTTTAGGAATACTATGTTAACTTGTTTCTGTTGAACATTTCCGCTAAGCACTTGAGGCATCACTGCATGTTTGGATGTTGTAAGTTACCTCTTTTGGATTTGATGCTGAGACATGGTTGTTGACAATGAGGGCTTTGGCATTACTCTCTTCTTATGATCTTTTAATTTGCTTTTGATCAACATCGCTAAAGTTTGGACTAGAAATAACAAATTGTTTCAGCTATCATGATGCATGTTCTTCTGTCTTCACTTCATTTATGTCATGAGTTGTCATACTCTCCGCAGGAGTTGTGCGCATCAACTCTATAGGGCAGGGCCTCTACTGTGAATTGATTATGGTATTGTTGTGTGCACAGGAAAAATCATCTTGGAAGCTGCAATTCTCACAGCAGTGGTGGTGATCAGCTTGACTGCCTACACTTTCTGGGCTGCAAAGAGAGGCCATGACTTCAACTTCCTGGGCCCCTTCCTGTTTGGAGCTCTTATGGTGCTGATGGTGTTCTCACTTATCCAGGTTGGGCAGCTGCACCTTATGTTCCCTTGTACAGTATATTTCTTCAGATGGATATTGCTAAACTAGTTTCGATCATGTTGGTTCATGCATCATATACTGAAAAATAACACTGGTGCTGGCAGATCTTTTTCCCACTGGGCAAGATCTCCACCATGATATATGGGGCCGTGGCGTCGATCATCTTCTGTGGCTACATCATCTTTGACACGGACAACATCATCAAGCGCCACACGTACGACGAGTACATCTGGGCTGCTGTGTCCCTCTACCTCGACATCATCAACCTGTTCCTGAATCTGATGCAAATTCTGCGGGCAGCCGATAGCTGAGCGCACCTGAGCCCTGCTCGCCTTGATTTAAGTCCACTAGCTTGTGCATATCAGAAAATTCATGAATGCCCGCGGATACCTGTAGGCATGTGCAATCGTTATCAGTAAATTCTGCCGTCCTAGACTCCATGACATGTCTTGTTTCCTAGCTTCCTGGAGTATGCAATGTGTGATTGAACTAAGCTGCACGATGAAAATATATTCGCTGGTGCTTTTTGACTGCAAGACTCTTGAATTTAATTCCTTGCTACGGAATGTTTCATTCTAATTCCTCTGAATGTTGCATATTGGCATGAATGCAAAATCCTGGATGTTTTGATCTTGTGATGTGATAGATATCCTCTACTCGAGAGGGAAAGGAGAATCACACACCTCCATCACCCCCCTATTGTGATGGGTCTGACAGCCAGGTCTGGGTCCGGATTGGCGATGATAGCGGCATCAATGCCTTTTTTGAGGAGCAGGCAGGAGATCTGATTTCATTTAGAAAGGAAAAATCACTAAGTCGGTTGCTTTATAAGAAAAACTAGGCCGAAAACCCTTATAAACAAGTGAAAAAGAAGAACTGTGGAAGCCACCCCAAACATACATCAACCTCCAAACGCCACTTCCCTTCCGACCGACCATAATTCAGTGGGAGGAAATACTCTTCGACAATGCCCTCCAAGGAACATCACCGGCAACGACCCCCGTGAAGAACAAGGCTTTCGCTCATTTCCGCCTCGCCACCTCTGACTCAGGGTAGGAGCCCCGCTCGAATTTCGTAGCGCGAACCGGACTGGAGGAAAAGGACCCCACGGTCACATCATCACCATGGTGTACTACTTGTGTTGACGCCGGCACCAGCACAAACCACTGCAACAGGGCTCCGGAAGCCACAACGTCGCACCACTCACCGCCATTGCTGCCCGCACGGCCCAGAGCAGCCAGCGCCACTGCTAGACAATCGCACCATGCCAACGGTCTGCACAAAACGGATCCGGGCGATAGCACCCACTGTGTTTCTCTATTGGAAGCATTGTTTTTTTTTTGAAGGGTATTGGAAGCATTGTTTTGGAGACATGGCTTGGAGGTTTTTTTTGCGTTCCTTTGGTGCTCGCCGCTATTCTGGGTTGTTCATCAAGGGTGCTATGTGGTCCCTGTCAGTCCTAGCTTGTGTATTCCGTTATTATCAGCAACGTGATGGAATTATTTGGATGGTGAAGAAAGAGGCACAGGGAAGCAGATTTTGAAGCGACCGCGCCCAGAATAGATGCCTCCAGCCATGACCTCCAAATGACTTGACGCCCATGGCTAGCGGAAGCTATTGAGACACCATTCCTTGGCCGGGACACGACCGTCGACCAACCTGCCCGTCCGTGCGTCCGTCCGTCGTCCTCTACCTGCTGGCAAGGAAAGGCAGGCGCCGATCCAAGGCCATGGGGAAGCACGATCACCACCACTACGACGTGGAGGCGTGCTACCCGTCGGGGCCCGACGGGTACATGATCGAGAGCCCGGAGCTGCGCTGGGCATTCATCCGCAAGGTGTACGTGATCGTCTCCATCCAGATGCTCGTCACCGTGGCCGTCGCCGCCGCCATGAACCTCACCGTCTGCGTCCGCAACTTCTTCCTCTCCCGCACCCTCGCCGCCCTCGTCGCCTTCATCCTCATCCTCATCTCCCCCCTCCTCGGTCGGCATCTCTGCTTCGCTTTTCATTCATGCCTAATTTCTCCATGCGTTGCTGATGGACGCAGTGGCTGCAAGCGCAGTGATGCTGCCCATGGTCTACTACCGGAAGAAGCACCCGGTGAACATGGTGTTCCTGGGCATCTTCACCGTGTGCGTCAGCCTGTCGGTGGGGCTGGGGTGCCTCACCAAGCGCGGGCCCATCATCTTCGAGGCGGCGGGCATGACGCTCGTCGTCGTCGTCTCCCTCACCGCCTACACCTTCTGGGCGGGCAGGCGCGGCCACGACTTCGAGTTCCTGGGGCCCTTCCTCTTCGCCGCCTGCGTCATCCTCATGCTCTACGCCATCGTCATCATCCTCTTCCCCATGGGCAAGACGGCCGTGCTCGTCTACGGCTGCATCGCCGCCCTCATCTTCTCCGCCTTCATCATCTACGACACCGACAACCTCATCAAGCGCTACACCTACGACGAGTACGTCGCCGCCTCCATCACCCTCTACCTCGACATCATCAACCTCTTCAGGGCCATCCTCATGGCCCTCGAGGCCGCCGACTGATCTTGATCGTAGCAAACCAGCCAGACCTAACATGACGATGCCTGCCTGGCGCATGTATGTATGCTAAACTAGATACCGTATGTAGATTACCATGTATGGAAAGTCATTACGTGCTCTCAACAAGATTAACAGAAATGTAGTATTGCCAATCTCCAATCAACATTTTTCATCGGGACAAACATGAAGCGATCATCAACAAGCCAGGGCAAGCATCATCAACACCAAACTCTCAAGGAAAAAGGGATAGGGATATGAATTTTCTCAGCAAGGAACATCGTTTCGTTTGTCAAACAAGCCCGCACGCAGAAATTGCAGCCTACAGGAGGCTAACTGGGCTCTTAAATACCTCATGTGTAAAATAGGGGCACAAAGTTGCCAGCATCAAGCACAACAGTTACCTGTTTACACCCACTGGAACACACCATCTTAGATGGGTCTGCTTAATGTTCTTCTATCTTCTTCAGGTCCTTCATATTTGTAGTGTCCACACTGGCAAAAGAACAAAAAAAATAAAATCAAGTGTTCAGGAGATGAATCACAAGTAATGATGATTTTCATCAGATGTATACATGGGAAAAGAGAAATTCAGTCTGCAATATCTATTAAGTGATTTTTTAATCTATGATAAAGGAAATAAGAACTTAAACTTTGTTATTGCCTCGATACAATAATGACTCTTGCACATTCAGTTCTGATTTGCTAAAATAATGACTCTTTCACCCTTCAGTTATCTTTCCAAAATACTCTGTTACTAAGAATATAATGGTTGGATTGTTGTGCAACTTTAGGAACTAAGGATGCTGATGGCACAACTAATCACAGATCACCCACAATCTGAGCAGTACAGCTAACAGAACCAAGTGCTAACAGAACTTACGTGGTTCCATAAAGCGCAATCTTCTGAATTTTTGTGATGTCAGCTCCGCTTTGATTGTCTTCGATAAACATAGTCAGGCTGGGATGACAAAAAAAGGGGTTATAAGAATCAGGTAACACTGCAAAATGCCTGTTACAAACGTGCTAGAGAGAGATGCACATACCTACGAACATTCTGGAACTTCACATACTTCAGCGTCACAGGCTTACCCTGCAGAGAAGAATAGCCAAGGCTCATCAATTTGAGGTAATGCATAAGCCAAGACAGGACGAATAACTGATGATGCTACATGGGCATCAAGAAAAAGAGTATCAAAGCAGACTTAGATTTTTAGGATAAGAACGTACTTCCAGTAAATGGCTGGATGATAGGTCAACACTGTCACTTGGAGGAAAGTCATTGACATTGCTGCCAACCAATACAGAAACTTATGTCAGGCTTAAGGGAAAACCCAAAACGTTTTCAGAAGTCAGTATCAATGAGCTTCAAGTTAAACTAAAAGGAAGTATACCTGAAACCCATATGCTCTCTGTTGGAGAAGAGTTTAACTGTCTTTGGGCCTGTGTTCAAAGAAAATTGCATTAAGTATTTGAGGAAGCATCAACACCCAAGCGAAATACTGAAAGTGGTTTAAGAAAGGGCCTACTACTTACAAACTAAATACATAACTCCAAGGTAGAGAAAAAGAAGCATGAACACAAAAAGGTCGTAAGAGAGAAGCAGCATGCAGCTTAGCATGCGAAGTCATTCTTGCCAATATCAAGCAATATATTGATGTAAACCGTTGAAAGAGAAAAAACTCTTGAGCTTTCCAGCATTAAACAAAACTAAAATATGTAAATGATACATGAGTAATGTTTTCTATGTTATTTACCACTAGTGTAACAATAATTTCAAATACCAGCCATCAATTTACTTATGTCCAATGATGGAGAAGTGGCAAATCTGAGCGTCATAGGCCATTGGATCAAATCCTAGGTTGCATTCGATTATGCCGTGTTTTTCCCGAAAAGGAGGGAGCCCTATCCTCTGCATTGACTGATGCACACAGCCTATACTGTCAACAGCACCATAAGTAACCCCATCCATTTTATGTAGCATGAAAAACTAGACGATAGGTCAGATGGTCACCACATAGGTCCCACCAAATAACATTTGATCATAAATTAACAGAAATAACAGAGCTTGCACCCTCTACTAGCATTTGCAGACCTATAACAGACTAAATAGTCCACTAGTTCCAAAGGCGACAAGTGCTCCTTGACATCAGAAAAGAGTGTTCTAGCCCACTAGTGTATCAATAACTCCAGATATTAGCTGTAAATTATCAATTTTATTTATATACAACACCCAAGAAGTGGCAAATCCAAGCGTACTAGGCCACTAGATCATGCCATGTTATTTTTCCAAAAAGGAAGGAGCCCCAGGCTCTGCATTGATTAATGCACACACCCATGTTGTACCTCTAGAATTTTCTATACTTGTTGTACCTCTAGAATTTTCTATACTTGTTGTACCTCTAGAATTTTCTATACTTGTTGTACCTCTAGAATTTTCTATACTTGTTATACCTCTAGAATTTTCTATATTGTCCGTAGCACCATAAATAATAATCTCTTCTATTAAGCATTAAACACTAGACGACAGGTCATAGCAAAGTTCAAAAAAGCGCGCAAGCGTCGGCCAAACATAGCGCTTTGGCCCTGCGCGCTCGGAAAAGAGCAAGGTGTGCATACGCGTAGCGCCTTTTCCATTTGGGCGCGCATACGGAGTGGCAAACTAGGCGCAAATAGGTCCCTAAATGCATAATTAACGCCCAGCGCCTTTTTGAACTTTGGGCCAGACACACATAAGGTCCAAACAACTTGCTTATCATGCATTTACAAAAACTTGTGTTCAACCGTCTATTAGCATTCACAACAGACTAAATCGAGCCCCCTAGTTCGAACATAGACAAGTTCCTCCCTGAGCTCAGAAAAGAGGCTTAACTCTTAAGTAGTCAATGTATGCAGCAACCTAGCATTTTGAGTGACAAATCTCACCTTCTTCCTCAGGGCCTTTGAAGAGCGCGGAATGCAGCTTGATGACCTGCATGAAGGGGATGTAGATCAGCAGCTGCTCGTCGGAGTCGCTGGCGAGGTGCAGCCCCTCATCCTCCCTGTAACCCTGATAAAAACCAACAATCGTCAGAAACATAATCCCATCTAAACTAAAATCCGAAGAAGGGTTAACACAGCACACACACGCCCGTGACACGACGCTAATCTACGAAACCCTAGGGGGGAGTGCCCCCGGCGAAAATCGAACGGGCCGCCGCCAGATCGGCGCCGGGGATCGCGTCTGGCCGCGGGAGTAGACGCGGTACCTGCTTGAGGGCGTTGGCGATGGCATGGGCGGGGTCCTGGTTGAGGCACTCGACGCCGGTCCAGTCGATGAAGTCGACCAGATCCACCTGCCCGCGCGGCACCGACGCGGACGGGGCGGCCGCGGCGGCGGCGGCGGGCGCGGGGGCGGCTGCGGTCGGCGCGGGCGCGGTGGCCATGGATGGCTCCCGGAAGCTTCTGGAAGGTCGGAGCAGGGGCGGACGCGAGAGAGACGGCGGGCTCGCGCTCGAGCGACTTGGACCTCGACTCGTCTCGTCTCGTGCGATGACGACTTGCGTTGCGTGCGAGCGAGCTGCGGCCGGGGTAGCACCCGATGCCTTTTCTTTTCCTCTCGGTCGCGCAGTCGGGCCCGTTCGAGCTGAAGCCCATCGGGCCGGCGGAAATCAGAGCCCACGCGGCTAGCACAACTGCTGGTGCGTGAGGGGAGCGGAGGCTGGTGGTTTCGTTTAGTCCCACATCGCGCGGCGAGGGAGGGCGAGGGGCTCGGCGAGGCTATAACAAGGAGGGGCTGGCGCGGCTTGTAACTCATACCTTTCTCGGCCTTTTGGCTAAGATCAAGTGTAGTATCTGTTCTTATCAGTTTAATATCTGATATGTGGGTCATGTGCCCATAATGATATTAAATTTATTTTTTGTGGGGAAGGGCCCACCACAGTGGCTTGCCACTGGGTCCCTTGCGTGTCGCCCAGGCGTTGCACTGCTGCCTGGGCCCGGCGCACCCCAACCAGATCGAATCCAAAAGTTTGTTTGAAGTGAGTGGACTCTGTATCGCTGTGCTCCTACATCTTTGGAATAAGGCCATAGGTCAGGTTTAGACTCTCCCTCACTTCTTTCTTCTGCCCCGCGCCATGGCTGAAAAATAGCCAGCAGCTGGAGCAGATCCAACGATATTTCCTTCCACAAGAGTGAATGTGCTTGAAGTTCTTTGTCTAGCAGTGGATACGGTGTTAATTAAAATAGGATTCCCCTACAGTCAAGATACCAAGAGTATCTATGCTTTTGAGACGTAATGAATTTCCGTGCAAGTAGCTTGAGCAACTTCAAAATAAAGATCATGCCCTCGCACGTCCAAGTTGGTCGCAGCGTGGTTTGAAGGCTTGAGTGTGATAATTCCTCCATATATCATCCGTTCTTAAACTCACCACTAAACCCATGCATACATACTCATCAACAACAAGAAATTAATCTTGCTCTTCTAACTTATCATCTTTCTATTTTTGTGTATCATTCAATGGACAACACTAGTATTTTTTTCATATGTAAACACTAGTGCATGAACTGGAGTACTTGAAGTTGGATACAAGGTGCTAAAAAGCAGCTTGTCCATGTAGAAGTAAAGATACAAATATATAATAGTAGCAACGTGCCTGTGCGTCGCAACGGATCCGGAATAGAATAGTACTTGTTCACAAACTTGAAAGAAAACACTCTTGTTTTTATATACATATACCACTAAAAATATATTTGGTTTCACTCAAAATATATTTCTCAAGTTGTTTTGATGAGGCGAGGGAGGGATGTGATTGCTTTCAAGATAATAAGGTTTTTTTTGCAAATTGGAGCAGAGAAGTGGCCTATTGTTGCAAGAATGCCACAACTTACCTCACAACCATTAGATGTAGATCTAATGATCGGAAATGACGGATGCTAGACACACCGTCATCACCAACTAAGTCTTTATAGGAGTAGAGATATGGGTTGGGGTTGCTTAGTTATTACCGTATGCGGGTTGATGAACCAAGAGGTACTCCCTCCGTCCTTGAAAGAGTGTACTTCTAACTTTGTTGGAAAGTTAATTTTTTTATGTTTGACCGTATTTATATAATAATACACCAACATTTATGCTCTCAAATTAGTAACATTATATTCATGATAAAATATATTTTCATCGTATACCTATTTGGTTTCATAAATATTGATATTTTTTTGCACAAACTCGATGAAACTTTTAGATAATTTGATCCTCCAACAAAGTTGGAAGTATACTCTTTCAATCACAGAGGGAGTAGTTGGTTAGTGAGCCCCACAACGGTCTCATCTTCAGAGACTAAGAGTGGGTGCAAGAAAAGCCTCAGAACTTTATAAGAAGATAGAACACGAGCGCATGCACATACATGTGGTACTGCATTCATATGCCGGCGTTCCTTAGAAAGTGGGAATTGTTTTTAGGAAAATTCACAAGAACACCCATGAGGTGGTAATTAGAAGGAACATGTCTAGTATTTGGGCTCAATTCCACATCACAACGAAAGCCATGCAATACTCTCTCCTCGAAGTGTTAGGCACACTATTATACGTGCAGTCAAGATTTAAAAACCTTGAACACTAACCTGAGAACAAAACATATATATGAATTGAAGTCATAAGAAAAACTGTCATTAATCTTTGGAGTAATTCATGTTCGCAAGGAAGTGGCTTAGTTAGGTCATTAACTGTATCATATTGCACAATATATCTCCGCTACAAGAAACATATTCCATTAATTTTGATGAATGACTCAAATTAATCATCGGATACCACACACATGGAAAAAAGTAACTGTTAGCGTAAGGCGGTGGAATGCATGCAGAGTCGCATTCTTTTGAGAGCGGCTAGATAGAATCAAGTCTCCATGTGCAAACACAGAAAAGTGCAATGTGGACCGTCAGATCTTTGATGGATGTTACATGTCTTGTGAGATGGATATAGTAGAAGGATTTGTTTTTTATGTAAGTGTTAGTCAGAGGGTTATCATGAAATGTACATCAAGGTCCACCAAAACAGAATCTCTGACATCGATCATAAAACAGACGACACACATTGTTTTTTTCTATTTTTGCACATGAAAAGTTGATTCTATCCTAGTCACCTCCGTTCTTCTTTACACCCGTGAGAATAGTGTTGGTGTGTAACACTGCTCTTGTCGTGTGTTGATGGCCTGGGCGCGGCGTTTCCTCGCGGCATTGCTTTTCACTATCACGGCAGAAATATTGACTGCATGTAGGACTCACTCGATTATGCATTCATGATATGTTTATTTTGCATCATGCTTTTTATATCGATATTTATTGTATTATGGGCTGTTGCTACACATTATGTCATAATATTTATGTCTATTCTTTCTTATATTACAAGGTTTACATAAAGAGGAAGAATGCCGACAGCTGGGATTCTAGGCTAGAAAAGGAGCAAATATTAGAGACCTATTCTGCACACCTCCAAAAGTTCTAAAACTTCACGGAAGTTATTTCCAGAATATATAAAAAATACTGAGCGCAAGAAGTACCAGAGGGGGGCCACTCACCAGCCACGAGGGTGGGGGGCGCGCCCTACCCCCCTGCCTCGTGGCCCCCTGGTGGCCCTCCGATGCCCATATTCTGCTATATGGAGTCTTTCGTTGATGAAAAAATCATAAGCAAGCTTTCGGGATGAGACTCCGCTGCCACGAGGCGGAACCTTGGCGGAACCAATCTAGGGCTCTGGCGGAGCTGTTCTGCCGGGGACACTTCCCTCCGGGAGGGGGAAATCATCGCCATCGTCATCACCAACGCTCCTCTCATCGGGAGGGGTCCAATCTCCATCAACATCTTCACCAGCACCATCTCCTCTCAAACCCTAGTTCATCTCTTGTATCCAATTCTTGTCTCTAGGTCTGGGATTGGTACCTGTAGATTGCTAGTAGTGTTGATTACTCCTAGTAGTTGATGCTAGTCGGTTTATTGGTGGAAGATCATATGTTCAGATCCTATATGCATATTAATACCCCTAAAATTATAAACATGAATATGCTTTATGAGTAGTTACGTTTGTTCCTGAGGACATGGGAGAAGTCTTGCTATTAGTAGTCATGTGAATTTGGTATTCGTTTGATATTTTGATAAGATGTATGTTATCTCTCCTCTAATGGTGTTATGTGAACGTCGACTACATGACACTTCACCATTATTTGGGCCTAGAGGAAGGCATTGTGAAGTAATAAGTAGATGATGGATTGCTAGAGTGACAGAAGCTTAAACCCTAGTTTATGCGTTGCTTCGTAAGGGGCTGATTTGGATCCATATGTTTCATGCTATGGTTAGGTTTACCTTAATACTTCTTTTGTAGTTGCGGATGCTTGCAATAGGAGTTAATCATAAGTGGGATACTTGTCCAAGTAAGGACAGCACCCAGCACCGGTCCACCCACATATCAAATTATCAAAGTACCGAACGCGAATCATATGAACGTGATGAAAACTAGCTTGACGGTAATTCCCATGTGTCCTCGGGAGCACTTTCTTCTATATAAGAGTTTGTCCAGGCTGTCCTTTGCTACAAAAAGGATTGGGCCACCTTTCTGCACTTTATTTACTTTTGTTACTTGTTGCTCGTTACAAATTATCTTACCACAAAACTATCTATTATCTCTAATTTCAGTGCTTGCAGAGAATACCTTGCTGAAAACCGCTTATCATTTCCTTCTGCTCCTCGTTGGGTTCGACACTCTTACTTATCAAAAGGACTACGATAGATCCCCTATACTTGTGGGTCATCAAGACTCTTTTCTGGTGCCGTTGCCGGGGAGTGAAGCGCCTTTGGTAGGTGGAATTTGGTAAGGAAAAATTTATATAGTGTGCTGAAATTTACTGTCACTTGTTACTATGGAAAGTAATTCTCTGAGGGGCTTGTTCGGGGTATCTTCATCCCGACCAGTAGAGCAAAGAGTTGCTCCTCAACCTACTGAACCTACTGAAAATGAAAATGTCTGCTTTGAAATTCCTTCGGGTATGATAGAAAAACTGCTAGCTAATCCTTTTGCAGGAGATGGAACATTACATCCTGATGAGCACCTAATATATGTGGATGAAGTTTGTGGATTATTTAAGCTTGCAGGTATGCCCGATGATGTTATCAAGAATAAGGTCTTCCCTTTATCTTTGAAGGGAGATGCATTTACATGGTATAGGCTATGTGATGATATGGGATCATGGAACTACAAACGATTGAAATTGGAATTTCATCAGAAGTTTTATCCTATGCATCTTGTTCATCGTGATATATATAATTTTTGTCCTCGCAAAGAAGAAAGCATCGCTCAAGCTTGGGGGAGGCTTAAATCAATGTTATATTCATGCCCCAATCATGAGCTCTCAAGAGAAATGATTATTCAAAATTTTTATGCTCGGCTTTCTGACAACAAT